TGTGAACAGCCCCGGCAAAAAAATCGGAATTGCCAAAAAAATCAGGATTGAGTCACTTCAGGCTGCAGTGTGAACGCACCCTAAATTCTCCCTAGGTGTGTGTGGGCATGGTTGTGTGACCTGTCCAGGCTGTACCCTGCCTCTCGCCCAGAATATTAACTGGAGACAGGCACCAGCAACACTTCCAACCCCACTAAGGGACAAGGGTATTAGAAAATGGATGGATGGGTATATTTATATTTGTGTAATTAAAGTTACATACTGTAACTTTAATTTCACAGGTTAGGAGGGACAGGAGAGTGTTTTTTTTTAAAATAATTTTATAAAGACTTTGAATTTCTGTCAGTAATAAATATTTTGCTTTTGTTGTGTAATTGCAAAAAGAGCAGAGAGACAGGAAAAATCCACATAGACTCTGGAATGATGCTAACTAGCTTGTCACTGAACACACTATTGCTCACCTTTCTCACTGGGACATGCATTTCTCGGCATAACATCTGTTGTGGGCACTGTATCACACAAGTGAATGAAGCAGGCAATTAGCGCGTTCCCATTGCTGTCTGTCTTCATATTGCCAATATACTTGTTTAGTTACAATTTTTTTTATTTACATATGTTGACATTCCACAGACTGTTTGATATATTTAATAATTGTGTGGGACATATTTAGTCTCTGGTCGGCCATAAATAAAATGTTGAACATTTGTCCTGAACTTGCACACAACCCTCTCCCCCTCTGTTTCTCACTTTTACACCATTTTTGACTTCAGTTTGTAGTCATTTGTGTACCATAAAGTTCTGGTTGATCTACTTTGTGAAGGCGGCTCCTGTCTCTCTGTGTAGATGCCCAGGTCTAGTCCATGGGTTTGAGTCGGCTGGATGTATTTTACAGAAGGCTTCTCCTCACCAAACTTTTCATTGGGGGATGGGGGAAGCCTGAAGACCTTAAAAGGTAACAAAATCCTAAATAAACCTAAAAGTTTCTTTGCTAGTTGTCTGTTGTATGTTGGAGCTTACATTCTTAGAATAATGCAAAACTCCCGAAATAACTTTGGTTGAATATTCCACTTATTATTACACTATGTTAAAGGTTCACTTGTCTATTTCAGGCTCTTCTTCATACCCTGTTATATAATCCAAAAGAGAAAAAGCCATGCTTCTTTTCCTTCCACCTGAGACAGATGGATGTTTTGCCTACATAAAACCTGACTGTGACACAACACCAGCTAATGAGAATTAAAATGGAAAGGATTATCTTTCTTCCTTGATAGGCGAGTGGATCAGAAAGGGAGTGAGCTGAAATGCAGAAAGTTTGGATTTATGGGTAGATTTATGTATACAATTTGTAAACATTATTGAGTTAAAAGCTTGAGGATGGCTGAGTGTGGAACTTTCCAGAGGAGAAGTGAGGAGAAAAGTTAGAACTGAGATACTGGTGACTTCCCAGTGAGTTGGATCTGGTGGCAGAGGAGGACTGCACGGCAGCAGGGGGGAACTAGAGCCCTAGTAGGCTCTTTATCATTTTTAGTTTGTGGTATTAAGAACAATTGTGGATGGCCCAAGCAGCTTCTTGCGACTCAGGTTGCAGACTCAGAACCTGATGGATGACTGTCTCCCTGCCTCCTGACCAGCCCTGGGTACGGCCCACAGTGGGCGGGCAATGCCTGCCCATGCCGCCGGACCTGCTCCTGACCCCCTGCCTCGGTACCAGGACCGCTCTCACCAAGCTGACCTTGATCTTGGATAAGCAGACAATGTTATTGAATGGATATTTATGACCGCCATTATTCCTCCCAACACTAAATATACACAGATTTCAAACATTCATTCATTCCTTGTTTTTTGTGTTTTGCAGAATCTTTGAGTTTCGAAAGATAATTGGAGACAGAGAGAAGTGCAAGACACTTGTGCCTGTGGACTATCCTGTTTATGTAAACAAGGTTTGTTGTGGATTTTTATTAAAACATATTTGGTACTAAGTTTTTGTGTTCTCAGCATCTTTTCTTCTGCATTTTGTCTAGACAGAGGAGCTCACTGACTGCCACATCCATGATGGTTTCTTCATTTCTCCACTGGAGCATTTGGTGCCAGGCATCCTGCCACAAGAGGCCGTCAAAGCAAGGTACCCAACAGGTGATCCTTTGACTCTGTGATGGAAACATTTGCATTTAGTATAAGAACTTTGAGTTTTTAGATAATCTCAAACCATTTTTAATTCATATTTACAAAATATCAAAATAAGTTGTGGTTTAATTTTGCTACAATTTTTTAGTTTAAATATAATACCATATAATTGTAGAAGAATAAAGTTAGTCCTTCAGCAGCCTAACATAGCAGAATATCTTCACAGATAACCTAAACCCTTAGGATGAGGGAAGTGGAGCCATACAGAAGCGGCTTTCTTCCCCACCACACGCAACTGGGTAGTTGAATTTAGATTTTTGCTGAGAAACACAGGAGTTGTCGTCTGGTTGCCACGTTAGCCAGACGACTTTTGTGACCCTTTAGTCCACCAGTTTGACATTTATCGTTTCACTAAATGGTGAAACTGCCTCACTAGCATGCAGTGAAGTTTTATAAAGCTTTGCTAATAAATTCATATTGGAGCCAGGGGAGCTGAAGGAGAGAGGCATCTAAAAGTTACCGGACTCTGGCAGTCGAGGAATGCAATTTTTAGTCTAAGAAACATTACCCTGTGTTTAAATATGAGCTCTACCAAAAAGGAACGTTTTAAGCCTAGACTTAAAGTAGATGTGGGGTTTACCTCACAGACTAAGCTGGTTCCACAGGAGGGGAGCCTGATAAAGGATCTGCCTCCCATTCTAATGTTAGAACCTCTAGGAACCAGCAGTGAAGTCAGTCTGAGAGCAAAGTTCTCTGTTAGGAACTTTGCTCTCAGACTGCAGGTTGGACAGTGTTGAAGAACATATTCAAATTCTGTGCTTAAGTAAAAACTATTACGCTAACATTTTTACTTGTGTAAAAGTAAGTACTTTTTTAAAAAAGACATTAAAGTCTTGAAAGTAAAAGTACTTGTTGAATATATTCCTCAGGTTCTAGAAAGGCCTGAGAACCTTCTTCGAATCAAACAAAATTTGTGTCAAACGTTTGTGATCAACATAGCACAAACATTCCACACAAATTTTGTTTGATTTTGTAAAAGTGGGGATGCTGGTTGACCTTTTGACCTTTAAACTTTCATTAATATATTCAAAGCCAAAGCAGCACAAGCAAAAGTTTTTGCTGCACAAATGATGTTGAGTTGATTGACACCAATTTTGTTTGATCAGAAGAATGTGTGGGGCTGATTGACCCCTTTCATGACCTCTGGAAACATTTCTTCATATCTTTAAAATGATAGTGGTGCGCCCTGGTTCCGGTGATCATTCTTAGATCTGTGGAACCAATTAAGCTGTAACGACTCCAGCTTAATTGGAATTAACTGGTGGGGAACTTCTTTGAACACAGTCATGTCAACATCTGGCCCTTTTTGCTAATTACTTTCACTCCTTGGTCTGAAATCTTGCAAGGACATTTGGTCCCTGTTTCTAATGTAATGATGTTCTTGTCACTTCTGGAGTTTGGCCCAAACAGTGCTCACTGGAAAGTACAACTGGATAAACGGTTTATCCAGACATGTTTTACAACAACTATTTGAAGAGCATCATAAACATAGAATAAACTCTAGAGCTACAGAAATGTTGCGCTTCTGTAGTTTATCATACACATTATCATATGACAATGATTAATAATGACTTATGGAATGTAAGAATGAGACTGAGAAATATTCTTGGAAAGTACATGGATCTAGAAGTTATTAAAGAAGGTATTAAACTTTTCTCCATGCTGTAGCAGATTATTTTCACCCAGAGTAATGTTTTAAACTAGAAAACAATAAAAATCTATTTTGTCCCTTTAACTCTTATTTTAGCTTACATATAGTAATGTGTTTTTCTAATGGGTAAGCAGTACTTCCAGTGTGTGTGTTGTTTCAGGTTCCAATTTATTGTACCAAAGAGGTGGCAGAGGAACAGACCAGTATGTATTCAGTTAGCTGGGACTGGAGATCATGTAAGCTCTCTGCATTTTCATCTCCATATTATTAAATGTCTGACTTTTCTTGTTTCAGGTCATAAAACAAAATCATTTGATATTCAATATAACTCTAGTTCACAGCAAATGTTGTCTCAAGGCACTTTACAGAAAAGACATTTCAATTCAATCCTACATAAATTCCAATTGATCCTAGTTGTCAAACAATGCAGTATTCTCAATATAGTGTCTAAGGAAACCCAGTAGATTGGGTTTCCTACTGGGTCACCCCTCCTGGACCAGCAGGGGGCAACAATCACTTGTGTCGTTAACTTTACAGCAGTACCTCATTGCATGTTGCAATGTGTCATAATTTTAACACATTTATAACAAACTCTAGCAAAAATTATGAAACAATTATTTGTTCTGGAAAAATGAGAGCCTGTAGATTTACATCAAGATTGGAGTCACATATTAAAACCTTGAGTATTTTGTCGGAACGCTGGTAGCAGTTTTTTGGACAACTTGCAACCACTGTATGAAGGTTTTGCTGAGACTTGCTTAAAATTAATTTCAATAATCCAAACATGATGAAACACAAGCATGCATCATTATTTCCAGCTATGGATGTGACGCAATGGATCTTAATTTGACAATATTTCTCAGATGATGGAAATGGCCTTTCAAAAGTTAAACTAAAGTTCCTAACATAGGAGCAGTCAAAGCACCGAGAGGTTCATGTGTCTAGATGATGTTGTCACACAGTTCTTTTCATTTGAAGCATTCCAAAGAAAACAATACTTGGAGGAATAAAATTACTTAGAACTAAATTAAAAGAGTTTAAATATAATTTATATATATGTGTGTGTGCGTGTGTGTGTGTGTGCGCAGTCGGCTTTGGGTGGCGCAGTGGAAAGGCGTGTGTACAGAAGCCTCAGTTAGCAACGCAGTTGTTGCGGGTTAGAGTCCCGCCCCATTACTGACCTTTGGCGCATGACTTCTCCCTCTTTCATAAACCACCATCTTGTCAGTTCATTATCAAATTAAGGTCACTTGGGCCAAAAATATCCTAGAAAAAAACAAAACGAAAAACAGTGCAGTCAGCTTTGCAGCAGTAATCTTTCTCACACGTCTCCAGTGACAGGCCAAGCAGAACTACACATCAGACATACTATGAGATTTCCTCATTCTGTTCTATTTGTCTTTTCTATGTTTGTAGTTTTTTTGGCGTCGTCGGACCTTGATGGCCAGGCCCATGATCAAGGAGGCAGGAATGGCTTCTCTGCTTCTGGAAAATCCATATTATATCCTTTATATGTCTTTGAGCATATGCCTAAACAGGCATTGTGTCCATATACACAAGTAAATACATTTATTTCAGTTTTTCTTTGTTAAACTGCTTTAATAGTGTATATATATTCAATGCTCATGTTAGATGATTGAACTTCCCTTATTGTTTGATACTCATGAACTAGTTTTGGTTGTGTAGAGAAGTGGTACCCCCTAACAAGCTCAAGGTATTTGGTTGGAAAAATAGTCCCTAAATTATTCTACTTTGTACCTAATAAACCAAAAGTAATTATTTACCTGAAGATCCCTCTTTGGGATCATGAAAACATTCTCAGCTTATTATTATTTGTGCATAAATTCCTTCATTTGTAAAGAATAAACTTTATTTCAACAAAACTTTGGCTTTAATTGACCTTGCATTGTATTTTTAAGGATATGACAAGGTTATACTTTGCTTGAAAGAATGAATGAGCTCTTGTTCTTGTTCAGTCTTCTTGCTTTATTTTGATTTGATAACAAGCAGTGGAAAGAAGGTGTTTGATAGAAATACATGGATGCAGATGCTTCAAAGATTTCTCTCCCAGCTCAGGTTGTTTCTGGAAGGACCAGGATGAAGAACGCCTCACCAAACCGATGCACAGTTTGGAGTAACATGCAATCTTTTATGTTCCTTGACCAACAGATCACATGGCTATCGTAAACCCAAAGATCAACTGTGAGTGAACTCTCCTAACATGTGGTGGCCTGTTTTGTAGAAGCAGATAATAATCTGAGATTTCCCAACATGGCAGTAGCACACGAGATAGTATTTGACAGCTGTAAGACCCGCCAGTTAACATTAAGTTATTTTTATACCTCAGGAGGTCGTGTCTAAAGAATGTGTCGGACCTGTTTGTGATGGGAGGGGCTTTGATCTTGGAGTCAACCGTGCTGCTGCGCTGGCTGGAGAGAGAAGGATACTGGCCCTTAGGAATGACTGGCATCTCTATGGGAGGATATGTGAGTAGATGGAATATGCTCACACACCTCAGCCTGGCGCTCAGTAACCTGCCAATTACTAATGTGTTCCTTTTTTCACCTGAAAGATGTTCTTCTGGAGAAACTGTTTGTGGCAAACGCTAGGAAAAAATGTGAATTATAGTCATTTAGCAGGTGTGGACATACGAAAACGGCAACATCCTTTTGTCCTGTGTCTTTGTTAACATGTTAAAACAAGTTTCAATGTTGGTATTTCTATGTCAAAAGCAATATTTAAGAAGACGAGACCATCTATGCTAGTGATTGTAGATCACCTGTTGCTCATGTGGTGACTTTAGTGAGTGGGTGATGGGGGAAGTCTACTTTTTGCTGACCGCTTTATGTTTGTATGATTTTTTTTGTCTTTGATCACTGTTTAAACCTGCGGATCCGTTTTTATGCTGCTTTTGGACGTGGTTGTCTGTTATCCACTGATGTTCAGTCTTGGATTTTGGAAGATATCAGATAAAAATAATTGATAAACACATTGTGTTGGGTACCTGTGGACATTAACACACAGAAACTGTTTTTCCTGTCTATTTCCTGCCTTGACCTGCAGTGCTGATAATTCCAAGATGCCATTGAACATGGATGTTTATGTATGTTCCTTGAATGTGCCTTTTTGAATCCGTCTACTGCTTTGTTTTGCTGTGGCGCGTTTGCCACTGAGTGTGAGACAAGCTGGGTTATTACGTTCAGCAGAAAAGATAAATAAAACCTTTTTTGCACAAAAACAACTCCAGACGTCTTCTGTGCCTGATCCCAGCAACATGTTTACTGTGTTTTCGATACTCAGCAGGAGGTAAACTTGTTGCTGATTTCCAAAGTGAACTTTTGGAACTGATGGAGTAATTGCTCTGTTTCCAAACAGTCAGCCAATCACTAAACCTTGAAGCTCCATGGACAGACATATTTGATAAAATGATACCAGCCAGTGTCGCCACATTATTTCCTAGGGAGTCTTTTTCCCACTCTAATCACCCAGAAAGTCATCTTTCACCATCTGTCCTTAAAGTTACTAAAATCTTTTTGAATAATGAAAATAAAAGAAGGCTACGTTACGATGAGATGATTTCTATGTACTGATCATTTGATCATGGACCCTGTTTTGTGTCTAGATGGCGTCTCTGGCAGTGACTAACTGGCCCAAACCGATTCCTCTGATTCCCTGTCTGTCGTGGTCTACTGCCTCCAGTGTGTTCACCACGGTAAGCCATTGTTTCTAAAATCCTGCAGATAAACAGGACAAACGCAAGGAAATACACGTCTGGTTGATTATTTGTAACAATATTCTATAAATCTTTTGTCCTTAGAAAGTATCTTTCACATTCATAAAGAAAATGCATTTATGAGTTGAGTATTTGTGTTATGACCATGAAAACCTTCCAAAATACTATTTTGTCCAGCACCAAAAAGCTTTGGGTGGAGGCAGTGTGGTGGTGTGGGGCAAAGCAATGCTTGTAATCATTGGAGGCAATCTCAGTGCAGAGATGTTGAGATGAGAATCTGCAACATATCTGCACTCTATGGAGCCAAACTCCGTCCTCCAAGAAGTCAATGTTCTCCTCCACAGTTTGGGATTTATTAGACTTCCTCCAATCCAGACCCAACTCTACTGAAACTGGTGGGATCAGCTCAAGAGTGCTGTTAGTTTAAAAGTGCAATTCTTCAAGTTGCAGAAATGCAATTGTTTAATTTGAGTGGCTTTGTGTGTATATATGTGTGTGTGTGTGTGTGTGTATGTGTATATATATATATATATATATTTTATGTATGTTTAATGTAATTATGGGGTAAAATTGAGTGTTTTTAACCAAATGCCGCCATTCTTAACCAACTCTCAGCCAGATCTTTTGATCTTAGTGGGACACACCTAGTAAAATAA